ACTGACAGAGAGTCACTGTTCATTTTGATGGAGCAGCCTGGTCTCGAGGGAAAGGGCTGTCCCCGTGCATGCTCGCAGAGGGCGGGGCGACGAGCAGTGGTGACACCTCCCACCAGAACGGCAGGGCCCTTGCAGACGGCCCCTCTTCCTCCAGCCCCCCGAGCTCTGATGGCTGCAGTCAGATCCAGCCCTTTAACAGGAGGATAAATTGTCCCTTGGTTTCCCCATGTAGGCATGTGTATGTTTCTGGCGTGTCACCAGTTAGAGACTCCCTCCCTTTCCTCAACACAGACATGCTTCATGTACACATGCACACACACACACACACACACACACACACACACACACACGCCCCTGTTTACTGAGCTGCAAGGGTTTCTCCTCATTGCACCTTTGCATTCAGTCTTGCAAGGGCCTTTTCATTGCCTCCCTGTCTTTTGTGGCCTTGGTGGCCTGGGCCCCTGGCACCCACAGGCCCTGGAGGGCAGGTACGTGGAAGGTCCCTGGCAAATACCCGCTGACTGCCTGAGGCGAGGGACCAGTGAGTTCTGGACGGGCGAAGTGTCTAGGCTGGAGAGATTGGGGCCGACCCAGGTTCTGTGAGTCCCGGGCTGGGCCTGGGGCCAGCCTGTCCTGCCACGGCCGCCCTGGCCCAGGGACAGCACACCGATCACCCCACGCTCTTTCCAAGAACTCACACCCCCGTCCTTGCTCTGAGCCGAGCAGCCGGCGCTGGCTGCCCATCACAGTGGCCTTGGCTGCACCTGCTAGTGGAATCGTGGAGGATTCTGAGACGACCGTCCAGCGTGGCCCTTCCCCTTTGAGGGGCTGGGGACCATAATCCCAGGGGTGTCTCCTGGGGAGCTGGCCAGCCCCTCTGACACCCCTGGGGTCTCTCCCGTGGGCCTTACGACGGCAGGTCAAGTCCCAGAGAGGGATACTTGCTCTCTGTCTCCTAGTGTCCAGCAGTAGAGCCACCAGGGGTGGCTCAGGCCTGGGCTGACCACCAGGGACTCCTAGAGTTGCTGCTGATGGAGGTGGCTTTTCCCCGGTGGCTTCTGGACTTGCAGCCAGGGAGCCTCCCAGCTGTGACAGATTCCGATCGCAGGTGTTCCCGGGACCCGTGCAAAAGCTGAGGTCACTCGCAGTGGGGGTGACGAGGCACCTCCCTCGGGGCCGACCTTTCTCCCGGGCAGAGTGTACGGTATCCGCCGCTGAGTCAGGGAATACTGAACCAGGACCAGCCGGCTCGGCTCCAGGCCCTGGGGCTTCCTCCTTGACCGAGAGGGTGGTAACCCCAGGGAGCGGAGAAAGTTGCCTGTGGAAGGGTCAGAGAGCCAACAGTGCCCGGGTGGCAGGGGCTCTGGAGTAAGTAAGGTGATGGACACAGGGGACCCGGGGACATTAACCTCGACAGGGAGGCACAGAGGGACTTAGCGAGAAGGGTATGCATGTGAGCTCAGACCCACGTCATGAGAAGGAGCTAGCTTTGCAGAGAGCTGGGGCGGCACCTTCTAGAACATTCTATCTCTTCCCCGCCGAGGCTGTAGCTAGCAGTGGCATTCGAAGACCAGTTGCTTAAAGGAGTTAAAAAGCTCTGTTGACTCTGGCGAAAAAAAAAATTTTTTTTTTTTTTGAACAGAATAAAAGAATTGCATGCCCAGGGCAAACTTGCAAAGTCCCGTGGTGGTGAGTTGACAAGTGGAGCGGTGACATGCGTAGCACAGGTGGAGGTGGTGGGGACCCTGATCTTCAGGTGACGTCCCTCTTCCCACCTGCCGTGCAGCCTCCCCGCGCCCCCACCTTCGGCCTCTCTCCCTCCTGCTGACCTGGCGTCAACTCAGCGGCAGCGGCAGCGGCAGCAGCCGGGGAATAGCTTGTCCTTCCCGGGCTCAACGGGGCAGGCTTTGGAAGCGGGCCAGGCGTGTTGGCTTTGGACTTTCCAACTGAGCTCCTGGGTGGGGTTCCGAGCACTCCCGCGTCACGGCCCCCACACACATTGGCTCAGGAGAGGAGCCGGCTTAGCTGGAGGGGGCTCGAGGGTAGATCCAGGGCTCTGGACATGGCCCTGGGGCTGCTGGCCTCCACCTGGAGCCTCCACCTGGAGCCTCTGCCCTCTGGGCCTGCTCCCCGCCGCCACGCGGGTGCCACGAATCCCTCGGCTGCCGGCCTTGTCCACCGCCGTGTCTCTAGCTCGGGGTCAGGGGCTGGCACACAGTGGGAACTCAGTAAGTCCGTTGCGTGAATGTGAGAATCCCCATGGGAAATAAAATTAGGGAAATTAGCTCCTTTCCAACCAATCTCCAAAATGGGGCTTTTTTTTTTTTTTTGAGTGTGGACTTGCACCAGAAACAAAAATGCAAGGCGGCCAACTGGAAGCCTGTCTTCACTCCAAGTGGCCGTGCACTGCTACATGCGTGTAAGCGTGCATGTTGCGTATCTCCGTTTGTGGACACGGTTAGCCCAGCACCACTGCTCTAATCCCCTGCCCACCTGGAAGTAAACATCCATCCACCTCCCTCTTGCCTTCCTTTGCAAGGTGGACTCACAGCCCCTCTCCTCTTGCCGGGGAAGCCAGGTCCGCCACCGGAGACCCCCTACTGCACGGACAGTGTACCTGGAGGGAGGCCCAGCACGCAGCGGACCACCCCTCCCCACCCCGGGGCGGCTGCGTGTGCCTCCTCTCCGACTGAGCTGCCCACCCCCCACCTCTAGGTACGCCTGGGGTATTGCTTGGCCCAGAAATCCGTCCTGGCTGGGCTTAAGCACAACTAACTCCTGGACTTACCTGGCTGGCCAACACGCCTAAGCATTTTGATACAAAAAGGAGAGGTGTGCAAAAACCGTTGCGATGGCGGGGAATGAATTTGGACTCCTTCAGGTGAAAGGGATAACTAGAAAGGGAAGGGCCCCAGGCATGGGCTCACCGCCTTGCCACTCTGACGTGCGGGAGGCTGTCTCCTGAGCAGCCCCACCCGGGCTGGAGGAGAGGGGCACGGAGACTATTAAAGACAATTATGCAGGCCAGCTTTGAGTGTTCGTGTTTAACAAACAGCTTTGATTTCTAATGTTTTTTTTTTTTTTTTTTGCAAAACACATACTGCAGGTACAATTTATACTCATTACTGTATATTGGGAAAGTTATTAAAAACACTCAAACTTGGTTGAGACTTCCTATGGCATCATCACTGGATTTTAATTGGTTTTTATCTGGTTCTATAAAAGATCTCTTTAAGCCCAAAGTCCCTGCCTTGGATGCCTTGCCAGGTGAAAGAGCAGGAGAGCCTCTTTTTTTTTTTTTTTGAGACAGAGTCTCGCTCTGTTGCCCAGGCTAGCGTGAGTGCCGTGGCGTCAGCCTAGCTCACAGCAACCTCAGACTCCTGGGCTCAAGCGATCCTCCTGCCTCAGCCTCCCGAGTAGCTGGGACTACAGGCATGCGCCACCACGCCCGGCTAATTTTTTCTCTATATATTTTTAGTTGGCCAATTAATTTCTTTCTATTTATAGCAGAGACGGGGTCTCGCTCTTGCTCAGGCTGGTTTCGAACTCCTGACCTCGAGCGATCCTCCTGCCTTGGCCTCCCAGAGAGCTAGGGTGACAGGCGTGAGCCACCGTGCCCGGCTAAAGACCAAGGGAGCCCCTTTAGACGGTGTAGGTGTGTAGGGTCCTTCCTTCCACCCAGCCTTGAGCAGCCTGGACAATCCGCTGAGATTTCGTCATGAGATAATTTATACTTCCTTTGATGGGCACAGCTACCAAATGACAAAATAACAGTGTTTCGTAACATAAGGGTTAAATCTTAATCTCCGAGGTTTGCAAAGCCGCTACTCGCAGTCTCCTTAAAATTTAATATACCTCGTTAATGTTTCCTTGCAAACACTGAAGGATTTTTATGATTATAATCATGTGTTAGAGCACCTAGTACTGTTTCTAAGCAGCATACTAATCAGCTTAATGAGATATTACTGCACTTTTTGTTGACTAAAGCAAAATCCCTTTTATTGTTCTAAAGCCTGTCCTTTATTTTTTTTCCCCAAAACATTATCTTGTTTTATTATGTACCAGTAAATATCATGCTATTGGGGTTTTTTTTGGTTTTTTTTTTTTTTTTTGGCCAAATCATAAAATGATCTCTTTCATCTCGGACTGGTGGATGTGCTGAATGCGGAGAAGGAAAACAAAAGTTCCACCTAAGTCTGTTGGGTCCCGCATGGAGCCCGCCCTGCTCTTAGGCAAACTTGGGGCTGAACCAACAGGTACAGGTGCTACCGGGGACCAGGACAGGAAAAGTTTAACACGCAGACTCTCGGTTTGTTGTTAGGTGTTGAAAATGTTAAAAAAAAAAAAAAAAAAAAAAAAACAGGGCCGGGAGCGGTGGCTCACGCCTGTAATCCTAGCTCTTGGGAGGCCGAGGCGGGCGGATTGCTCAAGGTCAGGAGTTCAAAACCAGCCTGAGCAAGAGCGAGACCCCCTCTTACTATAAATAGAAAGAAATTAATTGGCCAACTGATATATACATAAAAAAATTAGCCGGCATGGTGGTGCATGCCTGTAGTCCCAGCTACTCGGGAGGCTGAGGCAGAAGGATCCTCGAGCCCAGGAGTTTGAGGTTGCTGTGAGCTAGGCTGACGCCACGGCACTCACTCTAGCCTGGACAACAAAGCGAGACTCTGTCTCAAAAAAAAAAAAAAAAAAAAAGAAAAAAAAAAACATTAATAATTTAAACGTGCATGAACACTCGCAGTCTGTAAATAGAAAATACAAGGGGGACAGTCTATCGCCAAAACACATATCAGAGGCGCCATGCCATATTGCATAATTGGCATTTAATAATTCATTTTTTTTATTATTGTTGTCGACTGTAATTCCTTGGCATTATTATGGGTAGGTAAGGCATGAACTGCAACCCCACCCCCCACCCTACCCCGGGCAGCTGATGCTGTTGCCTCCCTGCGCCACCCCGTCCCGCAACGGGTCTGAACGTCTCTCTCTGTTTTCAGGGATGGAAGAAGCGAGTCTGTGCCTTGGAGTGTCCTCCGCGGCGCCCGAAGCTGAGCCCCACCTGAGCGGCCCGGTGCTCAATGGCCAGTATGCCATGAGTCAGAAGCTGCACCAGATCACCTCGCAGCTCAGCCATGCCTTCCCCGAGCTGCACGCGCGGCCCAGCCCCGAGGAGAAGACGCCCGCGGCCGCCGCCGCCGCGCCCCTGGACGAGAAGGCGCACGCGCCCCTGAGCGGCCAGCCCCTGGGCGGGCAGATGGCGCTGCTGGCCACCCAGCTGGGCCGCGACGTGGACACCAGCCTCAACGGGCGCGTGGACCTGCAGCAGTTCCTCAACGGGCAGAACCTGGGCATCATGTCCCAGATGACGGACATCGAGGACGACGCGCGCAAAAACCGCAAGTACCCGTGCCCGCTGTGCGGGAAGCGCTTCCGCTTCAACAGCATCCTCTCGCTGCACATGCGCACGCACACCGGCGAGAAGCCCTTCAAGTGCCCCTACTGCGACCACCGGGCCGCGCAGAAGGGCAACCTCAAGATCCACCTGCGGACCCACAAGCTGGGCAACCTGGGCAAGGGGCGCGGGCGCGTGCGCGAGGAGAACCGCCTGCTGCACGAGCTGGAGGAGCGGGCCATCCTGCGCGACCGGCAGCTGAAGGGCAGCCTGCTGCAGCCGCGGGACCTCAAGCCCCTGCCGCACGCCCCGCAGGCCGCCGCGGCGCCGCGCCACCACCTGCCACGCGGCCCGCCGCCGGGCCACCACGGCGCCCGACGTCACCCGCCGCGGCCGCCGCAGCCGCCGCGCGCGCCACGCCCTCGCCCAAGCCGGCGGGCGCGCAGGAGGACGCGGCGGCCCCGGCCGCGGGCTTCCGCTGCACCTTCTGCAAGGGCAAGTTCAAGAAGCGCGAGGAGCTGGACCGGCACATCCGCATCCTGCACAAGCCGTACAAGTGCACGCTGTGCGACTTCGCCGCCTCGCAGGAGGAGGAGCTCATCAGCCACGTGGAGAAGGCGCACATCACTGCCGAGTCGGCGCAGGGCCAGGGCCCCAGCGGCGGCGGCGAGCAGGCGGCCAACGAGTTCCGCTGCGAGGTGTGCGGCCAGGTGTTCAGCCAGGCCTGGTTCCTCAAGGGCCACATGCGCAAGCACAAAGACTCCTTCGAGCACTGCTGCCAGATCTGCGGCCGGCGCTTCAAGGAGCCCTGGTTCCTCAAGAACCACATGAAGGTGCACCTCAACAAGCTGTCGGTGAAGAACAAGTCCCCCAGCGACCCCGAGGTGCCCGTGCCGATGGGCGGCATGACCCAGGAGGCGCACGCCAACCTGTACTCCAGATACCTGTCCTGCCTGCAGAGCGGCTTCGTGGCGCCCGACAAGGCGAGCCTGGGCGAGCCCGGCCCGCTCTACGGCAAGGGCGAGCTGCCGCTGAAGGAGAAGGAGGCGCTGGGGAAGCTGCTGTCGCCCATCTCCAGCATGGCCCACGGCGTCCCCGAGGCCGGGGACAAGCACTCGCTCCTGGGCTGCCTCAACCTCGTGCCGCCGCTGAAGTCCAGCTGCATCGAGCGGTTGCAGGCGGCGGCCAAGGCGGCCGAGATGGACCCCGTGAGCAGCTACCAGGCCTGGCAGCTCATGGCCCGGGGCGTGGCCGTGGACCACGGCTTCCTGTCCAAAGAGCACCAGCTCCAGCGCGGCCACGAGGACGCCCTGGCCGGCGCGGGGCTCATGTTCGACAAGGAGAAGCGGGAGTACGTGCTGGTGGGCGCGGACGGCTCCAAGCAGAAGATGCCCGCGGACCTGGTGCACGGCGCCAAGGTGGGCGCCCAGAGAGACGCGCCCGCTAAGCTGGACCCTTTGGAAGGCGGCCGGGACTTCTTGTCCCACGGGCTGAACCAGGCGCTCGAGTACGGCCTGCAGGGCGCCGCCGGGAGCATGAAGGAGAAGCCCACCGAGTGCCCCGACTGCGGCCGGGTGTTCCGCACCTACCACCAGGTGGTCGTGCACTCCCGCGTGCACAAGCGGGACCGCAAGGGCGAGGAGGAGGGGCTGCACGCCGGCCTGGAGGAGCGGCGCGGCTCGGGCAGCGACCAGGAGTCGCAGTCGGTGAGCCGCTCCACCACGCCCGGCTCCTCCAACGTCACGGAGGAGAGCGGGGTCGGAGGAGGCCTCTCCCAGACGGGCAGCGCCCAGGAGGACAGCCCGCACCCCTCCTCACCGTCCTCCTCAGGTAGGTGGGCGGGGAAGGTGCAGGGGGGCGGCGGGAGCGGCTTGCGGAGGGGTCTGTCGGGGGCTGCCTGGTCCCACCTGCCGGCTCCAGGTGTGGCTTCATGGGCCTGCCGGGCCGGCGGGACGCTGGGCCCTCATTTCAGCTCTGTGGCATTCCCTCGAGCGCCGGCTTCTAAGAAAGTCAGGTGTCCCTCCCGCCACGTGGTGGGGACGGCCAGCCAGGTGGTACATTTCCCAGGGCTGGGTGGGCGGAGCCTACTCTTAAGCCCCGGTTGGTCCTCGCCTTGACTCCGCCCACCACCCCCTCGTCTCTGCACACCTGGAGCTGGCGTTCTGCTCCTCCCAGGCACGCGAATGCGTAAATCCAGACCCTCACCGTCCGTTCCCCGTTGGAGTGTTCCCATAGTGCTCTTCTCACCTGAGCACCCCAAGCCCAACCCAGCTCCTGTCTCCCTCCGAACCTCCCAGCGTGGCTCACCTGCCAGGTCCGTCCGAACCCGAGAGCCCTGGTGATTGCCTGCCCTCCTCGGATGGTTTGAAAAAAAAAAAGGCTCAGGGGGTTGAGACACAGATGCCCGGGACTGCCTGTCTTGAATTGCACTGTGTGGTGTTACACCGGCGATACAGCTCTGGGGTCTAAAATAGCAAAGCAGAAATCTGTCATCAAAATGTCTGTGAGATGCTGAAGCTTTCTGGCCCAATTTGAAAAAAAAAAAAAAAAAAAAAAACAACCAAAACACACACACACACACACACTAGCCTAAGACGGCGAGATTAAAATCACCACCTAACGGGCAGGTAAGGTGTTGCCTTCGCCCGTATTCCGAAAGCCCCCTTCCTAATGGCTGCAGAATTGGAAGTTATATCTCTGGCCCTTTTTTTTTTTTTTTTTTTATAAAGAAAGCACCTCCCTAATACTGTAATCATTCTGCAGCCTAACAACAGAGGAAATCATGCCATAACAAATACCCTGTTACTAATGGCAACATTGATTTCTGCAATCAGCCATTAAGTCTAGAAAATGAGAGACAGTTTGAGGCACCTCCAGGCGCTGCATTGCCCACTGTTCGCGATGTGGCGACACTCTGTTGAGGGTCATTTTTTAAAAAAACTTTTTTTTTTTCCTTCTCCTTCTTTCTATTTCTCCCTCCTCCCCGCCCCCCCCATCTCCCTTCCCGGTTCCGACAGACATTTCGGTCCTGGAGGCCGTTCACGGCTGCAGTTGTCGTTAAGTAGACGCCCGTTTGGTCTTGTTGACATGGTCATGCTTCAGCACGGTCCTCTTCTTGGGCTAAATTAGAGTTAAAAACAAAAGTGTGAGTCCGCCGGCTTATTACAAACCGGTGAAGAATCAAGACACATAAATCTGATCCGCACATTCCAGAGATTCCGACGGCGCTTAATGCCGCTGCCTAAATGCCCATGAAGCGCACGCACACTGTCCTCCTGCCGGGCTCCGGACTAGCTCGCCGGTCATTGCTGTTGAGGCACTTACTTTGCAAGAGTCTCACCGGGGACGTGGGCAGCACGGCGGCATGAGGTCATGCTCCGCGGAGCAGCTACTGCCCCGGGACATGCCGGGACACGAGGGGAGGGGTCTGCAAATTGCCCTGGCTGCCGGGGGGGACCGTGTGCAGATGGGTGTCAGCCCCACGAGGCAGAGCCAAGTGCCAGGTGTCCCCATGTCCTGTCACGAGAGGCTGTTTCCAGCCTCCCAGTCAAGGGGGTCTCCTCTCCTGGGTGGGGGGGAAGGGTAGTCTCACCGCTTTGGGGTTGGGGAACTTTCAGGTGGGGGGGGGGCGCGGGAAACTCAGACAGCAAACCGGCTCCCCCCCTGAGTTTTGGAGTTAACACTGACAGATTTGCGTCCCTCTCTCTCTCTCGGACCTGCTGGGATGGAGAGCGTGTCCTCCCCGGTGGAATGTTCCGCCACCAAACGCTGGGCTCTAGGAGTGACGTGTTTGCCATGTTTTTCTCACCTTCTGGCCGAGTGATAGCCTCGTGCTATTCCTATCTCTGTGGCTTGCCTATCTCCAGATACTCGGTTTAAAAAAAAAAAAAATACACCATTTTGCTTAAAAGAACCAACCCTGCTTAGGACTCAGAAGAGAATTATACTTGAGTTGTGGTTATCCCCTCACTTTTATCCCCCTCGTTGAAGGATTTTTTTTTTTTTGCGATTGTGAACACGGGTTCTTTCATTTCTGGTTGACTCCTTTGTTTTCTTCATATTCAAATGAGACCCTTTCATAATTTTCCGACTAAGTAGGAGCATTGATGGCGTGCCCCTGTGCAGCCCAAGTAAATGGGCTGTGGGTCTGGGGCACTCGGGTTTGCCTGGGATTGAGGACTCTTCCCCAAATCTGGCGAGCGTTCCCTCTCATTTCTGACAAGTAAGACTTGTATAAAGTGCGATTAAAATAAGCATTTAAATAAGAATCTTGACACAATGGGTATTTTATTATTACCTGTTAAAGAGAAACCTGCAAGGTGAAGAGGAGCCGAAAGAAAAAAAAAAAGAAAAGAAAAGAAAAAAAATCCTTAAGCCCTTAAGTAAAGAAAGAAGTACTTATTAAGGTTTCTATTAAGAAATAACTGCAAAACACGGTTTTGCAAATTTCTCAGACGGCATAACAATGTCGCAAAACTTAATTTGCATCACTCGATTCTTTTTTTGTTGAAAACTGGGTCAGTAGGGCCTGAGAAACTATTTTTTTTTTCAGATCTTAACCAATGAATTCTTCTTTATAAATCGCTGCTCTTAACATGATAGTAGTTCTGAATTCATCATAAAAAAAAAAAAAAAAACCTTTTTACACAGGCTCTTAGAACAGATCTCTAGAAGAAGGCTTACAATGAGTGGCAGAGTCGTCCTTTGTTATCTGATGTAATTCTTTGCAAAGGAGGATTGGGAACGGAGTGGCTGTTTAAAAAATGTCTTGCTCAGACCGAGACGAAGAAGGGGTCAAGTTTGCAATCAAACAGTTATTGCCGAGATGGGTGACTGTCACTGGCTAGGCTAATGTGGGATGCAGCTGTTTGTTATGTGAGCAAAAAGAATGTTTGAATCAGTGAACATGTGAAAATGATTCCAGTGAACCAGAAAATGTGTTTGTTCTTTGGCTCTCCAAACTGCTGAGAACCGAGCTTAAGATCAACTGCGAAAACCAGGACCTCTGACAAATTGAGAGGTCATATTTTCCAACAGAAAAACGGACAAAGCTCCTCAGACAGATCACTTCCCCCTGCACGGCTCCCTCTTTGTTTTGTTTTTGTTGTGTTGTTGTTTATTTGACTTCCCCACGATCTCACGGCCTCCGTGTGTGCAAATGCAAAAAGGGAAACTATTTGGAAGCAGCAGCTTATAAATTTTACTCTTTTATGACATTTAGAAAGCAGGGCGGTTGTTTTGATGCTTCCTCCTCTCTGGGCTGGCGTGCAAACACACTCCGGTGGCATTAATCTTTGCAGTCTTCCTCCGAAACCCCCTGTTCTCAAGACTGTGCTCGGATCCTGGCTTCCGCTCCCAGCCAGGCGACGACCAAAGTTCTGCATCCTTCGAAGCTTCTGCTTTGGAAATCTCGCGCGCAGAATAATTAAAACTTAATGTACTAAGAAACGATACTGTTCATTATATCCAACAGGGCAGTTTACCTTCCGAATTCCCCGTCATTTTGGAGTAGGGATAATTGAAGTGTTGTTGGTGGGGAAGGGGGTAATCGAATGCACTGACCCTCTGTTCATTAAGTAAAGTCGGCTAAGTTCCATGATCAATGGAAAGGCAAGGAGAGATGGGGAGATGAAAATATTGTTAACCCCTACCACGTCTGGTGTAGTATTTTGAGATCCACAAGGATTATCTGATCGGCTGGGCTGGGAGCCTTTCGGGGGTCTTCTTTTGCCCGCTGGACTGCATTCCTGAAATGCTGGGACTCCTCCGGTCCTCCCTGGGCCCATTGACTGCAGCGTCAAAAGCCTTTATCTGGGGCGCCCTTGCATTTCCACTGGGTGTATAGTGATATGATAGATTTTCTTTCTTTTCCAACCCTTTTACTCTTGTGGCTCCCCCTCCCTGCCCTCATGCACGGTGATAACCACTGCCTGCTCCCCGCAGACAAATCCCTGCACCCAAAAGAAGGGGGGGAGAGAGAAAAAAAAAAAAGAGAAAAAAGAAAAAAAAATCTAAGTCTGAGGATTAAGATCTTCATTTTTTTTTTTTTTTGCTTGTGCATTCCAATTGTTCTTAAAATATTTGGCAATGTCAATTAGTAACTGAGCAGAGTTAGCTGATGAACACAATTTTCCAGTAGACTGAGCACCCTATTGTTGCCGGGCGAGCAGCAGATTTCTGAGGTCATTATCATTCGCTGCTTGCTTGGCCCAGCTGCTTCCTGCTGCAAAAGCCAAACTTTATACTGGAGCTCGGGGAGGCCGCAGCAACAGGGGGCTGGGAGGGGAGAGAGGAGCCGGCTGCAGAGCCCAAGACGGGCATTATCAGCAGAGGAAACAGAAAGTAAAAGTTTCCAGGCAATTCCAGAAAAACTGCCATCTCAGGCTCCTTCCTCCTGTTCCTCTCTCTCCAGCCACCTCCCAACCTCCGGGCAGGAAATTAGAAGGATTTGGGGGGGGGGGCAGGGGAAAACACCCCCTCCCCACCCTGGGGGCTTTGTGTGTGGCAACTAATCTCTTTGCTGGGCAGAACTCTGCAAAGGAATAATTCCATGTATATATGAATTCACTTTAAAAAACGTTTTAACCCAGTCTAAAGCACGTCAGTGATTCCCTGATGGGTAGACTCTTTCCTTTTTATGCAAATAATAATAATAATAATAAGAAAGAAAACCCAGTCGTTTTTTATTTTTTTGCTTTAGGTGGTGTTGGTGACTTGGAATGAGTCAACTTGGGGGATGACAAGCAGGGAGTGTGATTTCATGATCCAGAGGGCCCTTAGGAGCAGATAGTCGTCTGCCATTCCTTGCAAAATCAGATCGGGTGTGGAAG